AGTGGACCGCGAACGGAATCAACCCCCCCCTCACCCGCACACCCCCACAACCCCACCCCAAGCCGGAAAACCCGGAAATTACCTGACAACCCAACAAAAGCACCAGACAAACTTCGCGCGCACCTCCCCCTACAAGCAGCTTGGCAAACCCCGAACCTTTAGATGATTCTGGTTACGTGGGCCGACAAACCCTGCACGTTGGTTGGCCCACAAAGCCACAGGCTTGGCAAATCCCAAAACCCTAAAGGACGAATTTGGCTGTCAAGCCCCAAAACCTGAAAAGATGGTCAGGAAAGCCATGAACCGGATGCTGGTTGACCAAATGCGAACCTCAAAAGAAAGTCATGGTTGCACAAACCCGGAAAATGATACAAATGACATTGGTTGCCAAACCCTGCGGTAGACCGTAGACCTAGATTATGTTATTCGTGCTTGGTGGCAAATAATGGGCAAGCCCTCCCGTTCTAACAAGGAGCTGGGTGGCACCCCTCGCTTGTCAAACGCCTCACAAACCTAATAGGCGCTATTGGTTACCAAACCCCGAAATCCACACACGGATAAGTTGGTTGGCAAACCCTTAAACCCTAAAAAAGACTATTGCTCAAGCCTAAACCCTACAAGGATATGCTGGTTGGAAACCAGTAGACTCTGAAAGGAATGAGTGGCGCAGACCAAACCCTAAGCGACGGATGCAGCTGCTTACCAAACCTTGAACCGTAGCCTTGCACACACTACTTTTGTTGGTTGGCAGATACTGAGCAAGGCCCTCCATCCTTTACAGGAGATGTTGACATTGACTAGCGAACCCGGAACACAATCCCGGCAAACACAAACATGGGTTTATATACCCTGAACTTTGTTGGGTGGCAAACACTTTCTCAAACCCCTCAGAAACCTACTAGGAGGGATGGCAACCAAACAACAAACTCCCCACGGAGGTGTTGGTAGCAAAACTCTTAAACCCTAAAAAAAATACTATTGCTCAGGCCAGAAGCCCTAAAAAATATGTTGGTTGACATGTTGGTTGAAAAACCCTACAGCCTGAATTCCGAATCGCTGGTGCAAACCCAGAATTCCCCTAAACGCCAATCCCCGACAGAAACGGATAATGGTTGATATCTACCCTAAACTGTGTTGGGTGGGACACCCCGAATGCTCAAACTCCTCACGAACCTATTAGGAGATATTGGTTCCCAATCCCCGAAGTCGATGCGGAGAAGTTGGTTGGCAAAGTGTTGCTCAAGCCCAAACCCTAAAAGGACAGGTTGCTTAGAAAACCTGCGCCCTTAAAAGAACGGTTGGTCCAAACCCCCCTACGAAGATCGTGGGCACACTAAACGCAGGACGCTGTTGCTTACCAAACCCTGATGTGTAACGACCCCGCTTGTGGGGCCGAGCAACCCCGCCCCCAGCCCCCCCTCCTCTACACCGCCCTACCCTCCACTCTACTGCTCCTCCCCCACTCCTCAGCTTGCTCCCCCCTACTAGCCCTCCGGTACCCCCTCCTCTATCCCCACCCCTTTGCAGTCTCAATTTCTACAATGTGTGACTCTCGAGCTACATGGGGTTTATATGCCAGACGCTGCTTGCCGGGGTGGGCGGCAGCGACGCCAGCACTTAAATCGGGCAGCGCTCGGTGGCCTTTCGGAACACGCACGCGATTCGCAGCCAGGCTATGGCGGGTTTCGGGGCCCTCGCGGACGACCCCAGGAGGCTAGCCGGCGAGCACCATGAGCACTCGGCGCCCGCAAACCGGCCCTGCAGCGCGAGGCGATGTTTTGCCAATTTTTGAGTGGGTTGCGGAAGCCCGCAGCGGGGTTCGGCAGATGTGTGGCCTTGCTCCAGGTCTCCACCCGTGGGCGCAGCCCCCAATTGGGTGGCAGACGCTGAGCAAGGTCCCCGCCCACCCTTCAGGAGATGTTGGCTCACAACCCGAAACACCAAACCACTGCGGGACTCCCAGAACCTCCGGTCTGAAAAGATATTGGCTAATATACCCTAAACCATGCTGGGTGGCGGGCCCTGAATGCTCAAACCGCTCATAAAGCCATTAGGAGGGTGTTGCTTCGCAACCCCAAACCCCAAACGGAAATGTTGGTTGGCAAAACCCCTAGACCCTAAAAGCAGGTATTGATCATGCTCACCCCTGAACGGATATGTTGGATAGAAACCCCAGGCCCTATCAACAACGGTTGGTTGGCAAACCCCGAACCGCAAAAAACTCAAGATCGTACGTTGCAACCTCCAAACCCTAGAAAGGATGATATTGGTTGCCAAACCCTAAAGCGTAGCTTACCCTAAGACACACTTGATGGCAAAACCTGAATGCTCGGTGGCAAACCCTCACAACTCCAACAAACGAATGCTGGTTGACAAACACGACACCCCGGACCCCGAACGAAAATGTCGGTTGGCAAACCCTTAGAATCCTAAATGACATTTGACATGTTTGTTGGGAAACCTTGAAACCATAAAAACTAAACGAAGAGAGGGGATAAACCCAGAAACTGGTTGCATAAACCCTAAAGTGAGTGGTATTCTGTGCCAAATCCTTCAACTGTAGCATTGCCATACACTACTCTTGTTGGGTAGCAAACGCCGAATGTTGGGTGGACAACGCTCGCACGACGAGGCGACATTGGGTACGTTACACAAAGTCGGCAACCACAAGCGGAGATGTTGGCTGGAATACCCGAAAACCACAACATTGGTTGCCAAGCCCCAAGGCCTACCATCTCCGAAGAGATGTTGGTTGGCAAGGCCCGAACCCCAAAACAACATCTTGGCTCCATGAACACTGAAAAGAAGCTATGACTCGCAAACCTCAAAACCCGAAACACGACAAAACTCTACGAGGAGCTAGGCAAACAAACCCCAAACCCAAACGAAGCGTGATGTTGCGTGGCAAGCCTTGAATGCTGGGTGGCACACTGTCACAATGGCTGGCAAACCCGAAACCCCAAACAGAGATGTTGATTGAAACCCCGAAGCGCGAAAGAAGATAATTAGTGGCTGCCAAGCCCCCAAGAAATATCCCCCAAACCCATGAGCCGTGCTTTGCATTACCCAAACCCCGAAACCCTAAAAGAAATGCAGCTTGCCAAGCCCAAACACCAAAAAATGATATGATTGTTGGCAAACCTCAAACTCAAACTGAGAGGATAGACCCTAAATTCTAGCCAACGGCCTCTACATGGTGCCAGAAGTTAAACGGGGAGATGCTTTTAAAACGGGGGACATGTTGTCTCGCAAAACCTGCATGTTGGGTGGGAAATCCTACAGTAAAAGCCAATGTTGGCTGACAACCCAGAAACCCCAAACGAAGATGCAGGAGAATGATTCGGAGGATGATTCGCCATTGCTTTATGACACGATCCTCGACGGTAATGAGTCACATTGAATCTCTTGTTTGAATTTTCGGTATGTGCTTCTGAATCGGCCTGCGTGGCTTTGTCAATGTGTTTTCCTGAATCGGGCACCGTCTTCAGAAACCCACCACCTTGACCACCACCACGACCACGGCCGCTACTGCTACTGCTAATGCGTAGATGGATGGGCTTTCGAACATGGAATTCAAGTTTTCCACAAAATCATGATGCATGGGGCTTGAACATGGGATCTCGGATCCGTGATATGGAACACCTAATAATTTAGGTTTGGCATTTCAGATTACCAGATAAGGGTTTCTGATTTCGCTGATTCGGATATGTGTTTGCTGGATACTTTATTCTGAGATGGCAGCCGAGATCCGACTTGTTGCATGTTGGGGCTGGTACGCGGGACTGCTGAATAGGATGAGCCGCTAAAAGCATTTACTGGTCAAGTTCGGATAGCGCGGAAGCTGGCAGAGATGACGAGGATGATGATGACGCTGATGACGCTCAGGACGATGACGATGAAGATGACGAGCGAGCATGACGATTGGGTTGACGGGCGTGTTATGCGTTCTCCTCTACATTTCGGCAACCTAGCTCAAACACACCTTTAGCAAAAAAGCACATGTGCGACAATACCTCCTGCACACTTGTCAAAAGTGCGCTCGAAGCTGCTTAAGTGGCCACCCTCTTTTTTCAGTGTTCCGACGCAGATGCACCTCCTTCACGGACACCGTCCCAAAAACTAGCCACTTTTGCGGGCCCCACACCTAATTTCAAGCTCATTGTTTTGCACATGTGCTTGTAAGCAGCATCACACCACAAAGTTTGTTGCTCGTCTAACTTGCTTCAACTTCTGTGCCTGATGAGGAGGACGTCGAACATGGCCTGCACGACGTTCACGATGCCCAGAATCTGCCAGGTACAAATCCCATGCGGCTGACGTTGCCAACCATGCTGCCATCAAGGGTGATGCAACTGCTGAGAAGCCATGTTCAGACGACTAATCTTGGGTAGAAACGATGCTTTCGAACAGCGCGAAGAGAATGCCGGCTAGATTGGGAGGCTTCAGCCTCGGCGGACGAGCTGGAAACCCTATGCACCCTGGCTGCGTGCTCGCGCGCAGAAACAGGTGTTGTTCTTATGTTACCTTGGTGTCTGCAACTGGCCACACCACCTTCAGCTTGGTGACGCAAGGACGCTCCTTATTGATTTGTATGCTCTCAGGTGTCGTATGCATGACTTAGTTTGGTATTACTACTTGCATGAAGACCTCATCTTCTTGTTCCACCTCTTGGCGTCAGCCTGGCTGGACTACAACCTAGATCCCCTCGTCTGTGTCAGAGTCCTTCCTGAAAGGATTTCTGATTCAGCTGCTAACAGGCACAGCTGAGTCGAGCAAAACGTCACAGGGGCGAGAGATGCAACTGGCCATACCACATGTTCTCCTCGAGCCACCCATCAGAGCAGAGCATGAGACAGAGTCGAAGGAATGAGTTTTTGTTGAGTCGGTTAGGGCTGACGCTATCCATGTGAATTGCACATTGCGTTGAAGGTAAAACTCGAACCTATGTGGCTCACAGCCGCGCTGCGCTTTGCTCTGTCTTACGTTCCCGAGGTCCTCGCTCCAAGCCGACACCTCCCTCAGGATCACCGATGGGCACGCCCAGGACGATACCCAGCCGCTTCCTCCAGCTATGCTAACGCGGCGTGCAGTTGATGGTTTTGGGCAATTTTCTGCACGAGCCCAGCTCAAGTTGGCTGAGTTGCAATCAATCCCTTCTATTTGCGGTATTCTGTGTCCCGATTTCCAGGCTTGCATGCTGAAACGAAACTCTACCAGCAGAAACCCAGTCTGAAAATGAGCAGACGTGAGTGTAGACCAAAGCAGAACTCTGACTTGCGACCCTTGCAGTCTCCTTTCTGCAGGCTTCTTCGGATCGTAACGCCTGGAGTGTGCTTTCCACGCCAAACCAACATTCATGCCGAGGGGATGTCGCAGGAGGGTCCCAGAGGCTGCGGCGACTTGGACAGCCGGATGAAAAAACTGCAGGCCAAGATGATCCTTCGACAACAAGGCTGCAGTGGCTAGTGCCAGCACTTCGCTACGGCCTGTTGACCTGTCTAGGACATGCAAAACATGCAAAGTCCGACTGAAACCTGTCATTAGTTGTTGGTGTCTGGCGACATTGAAGACCAATGCATCAAGCGCCGATTAATTGAAGCCTTGCCTTGTGATCATTTCGGCGAGCAGGTAGGACAGCATCTAAGATAACGATAGCTTCGTGCTTGTTGAGAGCATGACGAGGAAACTTCAGCCAGCATACTGAGGTCATCACCACCCAAAGAAGCATACCACCAATGATGAAGCCAAAGAGCAACAGCAATATCCTGCACTGGCAGTGGTAGGCCGACCAGCAATCGGGCAAGTGTCTCCTCTTCAAAACCAACGTCCACCACTTGTCAAACTGGCTCCGCTGTACAAGATGAAGCCTGGGAAAGGGCAGGCAGCCCTAAGGCGCGGCCAAGCTGCACCGCGAATCTGGGAACTGCGCAAGATGGTTGGTAGCAAGCCTCCACCCTGAAGCCACCTGGAAACGAGCGCACTCGGCCTCGGCCCCGGCTCCGCGCTGAAAGGCCCAGCCTGTGCGTCGGCCCGCAAATGCGGTACCATAGCCTCCCGAGGCTGGGCTAGCATCCGAAGACTTCAACACATGACAGGCAGAGTGGAAAAACAGCCTCTCTCCGCAGGTTGACGTCCCATCATCTCTGCTGGGTGGCTTCGGAATCTTGGACAGAGAGCTGTGCGACTGCTGGCAGGACACGGACCCGCCGAGGCCCTTGCAGCATAGATGATCAGGAAGAGCAGGGCAAAGATGACGCCGATGAAGGGGAGCACAGTCCTGGGCCCGGGCCGCCCGGGCCGACCGGGCCGCGCCGTCGGGTCACCCCTCACGACCCTAACCCGAAAGCTCAGGTCACCACGCCGACTGGATCATGATCAGCTCAAAGCCTCTGCATGCACGGCACGCGAGGAGGCCCGTGCTTTCCTCTTTCACCCGCCTACTGCCGGAGCTTGCAACACTTCTGCGGCAATCTTCTCATCTAGAATTTCATCCTCGAAGACCTGGCATGCTTGAATTCGCAGAGGGCCCGTCGGTGACACGAGCAGCCTCCGAATTCAAGTTGAAGTCACAACAGCATCGAGACATACCAGAGTCCTGAGATCAAGGCATGTGCCAGACAAGATTTAAAAGGTTCTCCGAGGCTCGCACCATGGGACAGCAGGTCCCGACAAATCCGGCCTCGCCATCACATACTCGCACATCCATGGGCAGTTACGGAGATGCAAGGCGACAGACCAGGTGGTGTTGCAGACTTTGCCTCTTTGCAGGCCGCATGCTTCTCGCAGAACGGGTCGGCCAACAGCTTCACGGATGCCGGATTCGGAATGATGCATTCCTGAGGACAGCTGGCTGAACGCTCGGTTTCAAGGCCGCAAGCTCTAGGCCCCTGGGAATGCCCTGGGCCCCTCGTGAGATCTTTGCCAGGATTCATCCCCTTGTCGGCGCTTCCGCTGCTGAATCGATGGGCGGTTGGCGATGCTGTTGGGAAGTTGTCCATTCAGGGCCAACTGAACTTGATCTGGATTGAGAGTCGGGCATTCCGCAACACTGGAGAAACTCGCCTCTGGTTCGAAGATTTCCCCAGTGTCTGACACATGGCGCCAACTTGCCCTGGCCCAATCTGTGCCATTCCAGCGATCTAGCATGACCGTTTCGGCTGGATCACAGCAGTCAGATGCCGAGCTCCGAGATTGGGTCAGCTTCAAACACCGAACCATGACAGGCAAGCCGTCAAACTTTCGGTTGAAATCCAAACCAACCCATTCGAACCCTGCCCTGCAGTCTGCCGGCTCATTGGCCCGATCTCCCGCGCCGCACTGTGCGGTCCAGGTTGTTGATGCCAAGCCGTCGAAGGCAAGATGCGGCCCTGTCCCCGATAACGGCGCGATCCCCGCCTCCCTAGTGCCTGAAGCAACTACATCAACACCTTCCTTGGGCCCTGGAAGCTTCACTTGACAGTCGTCATCCACAAAAAACTCCACTTCAGTCACACCCCAGGACCGTGGCCAGCCACGCTCCTCGGCACCCAAACACGTCTCTCCGGACCGCTGGCCATAAGCGATGCGCCACATCGTGTCGGGCGGCGCCGGGCGAGTGTTCCACGTGTCACCTCCTGCAAAATCAGGGACCGTGCAGAAGCGCACCTACCCCACCAAGCCCTGACCCCTTGATTGCTTACGCATCCTGCCTAGTCCGTTGTACTTGGCACGCTCTTGAAAGCCTCCCCCACTCCACGAAGCGAGCACCACCATGGAAACTTGCTCGTGCCGGAGGCCACTTTGCATCAGGCGAATACACTGGACACTTTTGTGCATGCCTTCCAAATCCAAGCCAACCCAGGCTTGCCCTTCCGTACACACATCGTTCACACAGTGAGCTTGCCAATACGACGTGTTGTCTTTGTCAAAAGCTTTGTGTGGGTTCATATGTCCACCGAATCTGTCTGAAAGCACTGCATCCTCAGCCGACGAAATAGGCATTCCGACGATGGGATCACCCCGGCATGCCAAGTCGGTGTACATTTCCAGCTCGAAGACAACCCAGCTCATGACAGATGCCACGTTCTGAAGCCTCCACAAAGAGTTCCCAGGCGCTGGCCTTCTCTGGAAGCCTTGCCCGCCCAGAGATGGCCTTAACTGAGTTTAATGACACACCTAGCATGGAGCCGTGCCGTGCTTCAAATTCGAAATCATTCACGGCTTTGGGTTGGAATCGGCTACTCTGCTTTGGCAATCGGTTTTCTCCTCTGTCTCGTTCCTCCTCTCTTTCAGCACGACGGTTCGAGAACTGCGCCCCAAACAGCCTGGCCCCACAGACAGTGCGCTGATTCTGGATTCGTCCTTTCCTTTCCTCTCTTCTTCTCTCTGGAAGGATCGAGCTGCTTCAAGAAAGCACACCAAGCAGCACGGCTGCTCAACGTGATGTTTTTGATGTCCACACAAACCCTGAAAAGCCTCTCAAGGAGTGCTCAGCCCTCTTTTGCAAGTTTGCATTCTCAGTAGCCTCATGTTTTCGCCTTCATCATTCAGACTGCTGAAAACAGCATCAAATAACATCACTGTAAACGCCAAAACTCAGAAATTATCTCAACAGGTGAGTTCAGTATGCACATGTGCTTGCACCCATGCCACATCATGCCACTACCCGGCATCTGAGGAAGCAGCAAGGGGAGAAGAAGCGTGGAGTCCATGCTGAAGATAGAGGTGGAGCCAGAAACTGCAGAATTCCAAGTGCTGCCACTCCAACCCTGCAGCTCCCCATAGCTTGGCTGCAGGGCTCGAATTCCCGGAAAAGCTAGCCGAATGCACTGAACATCTGAAACCTGCGTGGAGAAATCCAAACCCAACCATGCTCGAGCACCACCAATGTCTGCCCAGAATGTGTGAAGCAACCCGTCGAAAGCCTTCACCGGGTCTGCTGGTGTCAGCTCACCCATGCTGGAGTAGTGGTTGGTGTAGCCGGTCTTGTCGCCCACTTCTCTGGCAGTAGCATAGCCAGAACAAATTGGCACAATGTTCGGTACTGCCATTGGGATCCGATCTGTGCAGTCTGTATTCCTGTAAAGGTGTATCTCAGACACACCTACACCGTGGCCCCCAACTGACGGGTCAGCGAGGAATCGCCACATGGAGCCGCGGATCCCAGGCAAGACCTGCCAGGCCCCACCCCCAAGCTCCGTCAGGATTGGGTGGTTTTGAGATGCAGTCCACACCAGTCCATCCCAGACTTGCAACACGGCCGAAGACGCCTGGTGGTTTCTGTCCCTGGACTGGTACAGTCGAATGCAAGAAACACTGAAGGCCTCCTGCTTTTGTAAACCCAGCCAAGCAGAATTTGCCATGCATCCCTGGTGTCCTGTGAAGGCCGGGGTGCAACTGGTGACCCATTGGGTTATATCCGAGCTGTCAAACGCGTCTTCGGATCGGAACTGTATCTCATTTCCATTCGTAATGGGATCGCCGGTATGCGGCACATTGCACACGTCGTCCATGTAGAACGCCAGTCCCGTAATTGTCCACGGCCGAGGAGTGTCTACAATGGTAAGCAGTCGCCACATAGTCGAGACGCCACTAGGCCGCCGGTTCCAAGTTCCACCGCCAACTCCAGATTCAAAACGGCGTGTTTCCCAGGTGTCGCCCATCCATTCTGCTAGCTCAATCGCATCCGTGCGGTGCCTGACATCCTCGCTTTGTATCAAACGAAAGCACGCAACGCTCCTGGCATCCGAGAATCTCAGCCCAATCCATGCACGGCGCTGGTCACACGGAGAGCACGACGATTCCCAGCCGGTGACAGCTTGCCGATCGAAGGCATTGTCTCCACAACTTCCAAGGTCGGTCCAACAGGCCACCTGCTGCTCATCCGACAGGAGCGCTGGATTTGAGTCCACACTCTCGCCACTCATCGGGCTGCCCAAACAGTCCGAATCTGAATATAGCTCTAGCTCATATACCCTCCAAGACAACAGGATCCGATCAAAGTTCGCAATTCGCCAGGAAGTATGCTCCTTCGGCATGGTGTTGTTCCATCCGCCTTGATCAAGACCGCCAAAGATAGTCCGGTCTTCCCACTTGAAGCCATCCCAACTCTGCAGCAAGATCCTGGAAGTGAAGTGCGGATATCCCCACCCCTCGAAGTAGCCCTCGTGCACGGGCTGATTTATCCGTATGCATCGGACTTGCTTTGGAAGGACGTCAAAGTCTAAGCCAATCCAGGCCTCCATTGAGGCACATCCGGCCCACTCGTCACAATTGGCAATCCACGTTCCTCGGCACAAACTGTAGTCATAGCTGGCTATTCTTATCAATCCTAAGACATACACTAGTAGCAACTCTTCACGAGCTGTTTACGACGTCTGATCGGCACAGGCCAGCACGGGCCCGGAAGGAACGGAACAGTCGAGGCTCCCTCTACTCGAGGCAGTCGATAACCTGGCATCTTGATACCATCGAAGGCCTTCGATGCAGTATACCGGTCGCAGCTTCGAGTGTCAATGCAATCGTCCAGGAAGGTTGCCCCGTTGGAGATCGGGGTTCCTTGGATGTGGTGAAGATCTGCACAAACTACGTTGACTAAACGGCAAGCATTTTCACGTGGCATGCTGACCAAAGAAGAAAGGATGTCCAGTACCTGATAGTTGGAGAACCTGGGATGATGGCTCAGAAACCCTTCACTACAACTTCACGGAAGGGCACCTCGGCCACATTTACCGTTGCCAAGCTGGCTTTAGGGCGGAGGAGCTTGGATCAAGCATGAGTTAACCCAGGCAATGAGATTTGAAGGGGACTGTCAAATGCTTGTCAGGCAAGCTTGTGTGATGAGTTTTTTCATGCACGCCAGTTTCACTCCCTCGTCGGATGAATGCTGATCATAACTCCTTGAGCGGGCAGAGAGCCGTCGTTTCGCCGTTAGCTGCAACGGTAGAAAGGGACTCAGGGGCTCACGTGTGTTGCCGACTGCCACGGTCTGTGCTTGTTTTGTAGGGGTTGCTGCTTCTCGAAGCTTGCTGCTTGTGTTCAAAAGCTGCAGAATCATCGCGCATCTCCGGCAATCAAAATGCTCAAGACTGTTTACTGCTCACGTTGTATGCTTTGACATCCAACCGTGCTGGGTCAGGCCGATGCCACATTCTGCACAATAATGCCACATATGCAAGCCATCTTCTCAGGTTCAGATGAGGCTCCGAAGGCCTGCTTATCTTCTTCGCAAAAGAGGTCCGTAAAGAACATGACTTCTGCAACCTGCCAGGGCCTTGGCATGGGATCCATGTTCCAGATTCTCCACAACGATTCCTCGCGAGCTGGTCGGGTGTGCCAAGCCCCACCTGCAAGGTCACCATAGTCATAAATCACCTGCCAACTGTCAAGCTTCTCGTCCTCCCAGGTGATTATCGCAATTTGGGACGCTTGGCGGGTGGCATTGGGGGACTGGTAGATCCGCGTGCAGCGCACTTGCGCGAAGACTTCGACAGGCTCTTTGTTAAGTGGAATGGAATCTCCGATGTTCTTGCCGACCCACTGTGTGTATGGACTACAGCCACCAAGCAGGACTCTGCAATTTGCTGACCACCTCGTTAGCAGATCACCGTCCCAGGCCATGTCTTCAGTGTTGCCGGGAAAAGAGGTCATCACATCAGAAGCTATCGGAAGGCCAACGGGGAACGGCAAGGTGCATTGCGAATCCCAGTAGAACTCCAGCTCATGGACCTCCCAGAACTCTCGCACATTCGCTGCATTTATCACTGCCCATCTCCTTAGTGATCCACGTTAGCGACTGCAGATAGTCTTTCAGGACATGCACATTGCAGATCATTGCAGGTAACCGTACGATCTTTGGCGCCAAGCGTCTTGCCACAAAACGGAGACACCGTCTCATTATTTATCCGCTTGTTGTAACAGATCTCCACTTCTGCTTCCACTGCCTTGAACTTACCAAAGGACATGCGAGAATGCACACGACATCATCCCTGAGCCAGCCTCGATTGAATTAGCTGGCTGCGCCTTGGATAAGGAAGCAGCTGTTTGCCAGATCAGTTCAAGTTACAACTGCTGCGACTGGCATGACAAGTAGCCGTTGTCTGGCGGATGATCCATAACACGGCAAGGATCAGTCGCATCGTATTGCGCGCACACGATCAATCCTCGAAGAGAGCGGAACGCCGGAATGTGCTAGACGTGACATGAAAGCATGAAAGTGCAAAAACAATGATAATGTAGTCATGCCGCAGTAGCAGTGCGCACGAAGGCCACGGGACGAGTCGACGCAACATTTGCTAAGACCATGATATGCGCATTGACTACTCACACGATCGGCCAAAAAGCTTGAACAAGCCCCGCCCTTCTGCTATGTGATCATATATCAGCATCTGTCAGTGGCAAGATGTTCATTTGGTTGAACCACAGCTGCATAACATCCCTCGCTGGCTTCCGCTTCCGGACGAAGGGAGTAGCGAAGAGCAGAGCACACAGAACACATGCACCCCTGCTGCTATCATTTTTTATCAGTCGCACGACTGAAGTGTGCGCAGTCGTTTAAGCCTGAAAACAAGTTTCTTCGGCAATAGATTCCGGGCTTCTCCTGTGACCTTACTTTCCTGCATGGGGCACTGCGACATCAGTCGTTGCTGCGAGCTGTGGGTGAGAAAGGTAATCACTCAGACTGCTTCCGGGTCATCTGGGAAGAGGTCAATCGAATCCCCCTCCTGGGCAAAATCACCATGGTGGGACGGACACTGCATGCACAAGCGGTTCTCAGCCCCTAATCCGCAAAACCTGTCTTAGGTTGCTCTACCACACTGTCGACGACCAATGCACAGTTGCTCCTTGACCTGCACATACGCCTTCTTGAAGAGGGATTTTCTGCCAATTTTCATTCCATACCTTGTCAGCATGACGCGGAAATTGTTCAAGATTAATTCTGTCGAGAAAGCCCGTGAGAGTCTCATCCTCCGGGCCCCCTGCGCAATTTGGTATCTGGAAGAAGGTATCAACGTGTTGCATTTGATCACCTGCATCGCGAAGCAGTAGAATGGGCAATGTCCAGCGATGACCAAGTTGAAGACAACAGACCTTGACGCCGAAAATCGTCTCAATGGCAGCACGAATCTGTGGCCTCGGAATTGAAAATCCAAACCCCAAGTATCACAAAGCAGAAACGAGGTTCACATCGTGTAGACAACAGCGTCCGTGGAAGCCCAGCCAAAGCATTGGAACCCAGGAGACTGGCGTGATCAGGGCACGGTGCACACCAAGTAACTTGTTGGCCTTCCGATCCACCATGAAGGTGTAGATGTTGTACTCTTCAAGCAAACGGCACGCCTGCAACTTTCACTGAAGCACTGGTCGGATCCAGTCTGGCTTCATGCAGACACAAATCACGATTTCCCAAGAAAGCATACGGTTTACTCGGCCTTTGCTGTCAGCAAAGGATATTTGATGATGTCATACATGCCGCCGTCCTTCGCAGATGAGCAGCTACTCTTCGTACCGACAAGATAAAAACCATCTGCTGTGTTCTGCAACTCTGTCAGCGAACGGTTGTCATGCACTGCCTACGCAAGCCCAAGCAAGATCCGAGCTTCCTCATCGAACTTATACTCGGGATAGTTCCGCCGTGCCTGCTGCGCACAACACACAGAAGTATATACGATGTTGAGGTTCAGCATGGACGCACCTCGATGTTTTGCGGGTTCGGGAGGGAGACGTGCTGCGTGGAATGGCACTTAACGAGGTCTGTCCTGGTCAGCACGTCGCATGTCATCCATACCGCAGACAACTGCAGCCAGCCCGACATGAACAGAGGTCCGAAGTCCTGCGTGGCTGTCGTGAAGCTCCACCAACCCAAACCTTCAGCCATCAAACCTTTTCCTGCTTTGGCCGGCAGCATTGCAACGCGTTGCTTAGAAGCTGACTGGCGCCCAGTAGGTAGCTGCCGCCGCAGAAGCCAGAAAGGCGAGGACAATCGGCACCGAGCGACGAGCCTGCAATGGCCGCCATCATCCGTCATCCATCTTTTCGCCTTCTTTCTGGAACCAAACGAGCCTTCGGCATCTTGGGCCCCGCCAGGGCCGCAGGTGCCTCCATGACCTCGTGACCTCTGCCACATCCACGACAACTGATTGCAGCGTCACCAAACAACAAGCCTCCAGACGTTGCCCGAGGACTCCCGGCTGCGATCCGATCCCGCGCGGCAGAGAAAGTCAATTCCACGTGTCACAGAAGCCGTGGACGCGGTGCAGTTGCATGCGACACAGTCTGAATGAGCACCCTGCTGCAACTCATTTTCACATCGTGGCAGCGTCATGAAATTGAACCAGCCACACGAAACATGGCCTAGAAAAGAATAGCTGTGGGAGGTTGATGATGACATGCTTTCCAGATCTGCAACTGGAATCTAGGAGGATCTAGGAGGCAAACATAGCGCGAGGGCACAGCACCGATATCGCAAGTCTCTAGTGGCATGTTGCTCCATAGATCCGTCCAAATCAAAAATCGATCCTCGGACTGCACAGAGCACTGCAAAATTTCAAAAGATTCGGCCATCGAAGAGCCAAGGCACACTCCTCGCGCCAGCACCAGCCTTACACAGCCAAATCCGACTCTGAAGCCTCAACCAGCACAGCAACAAGCAAGAAGTCAACCGCAGTCGAGGGGAAGGCCTCACTCAGCCTTGGAAGGGCCCAGCTCCAAGGGCTTGATCCCTCCCTCCGGCACCTTCCAGTGCCAGAGCACCAGACAGGCTGGCAAGGGGCTACAAGACAGCTGGGGAAACTCGCCGGCGACCTGCGCCAGAAGACAAGCCTCAACTTCGTCCTTCAGCATGTTCAATCCTCAGCGAAGTCAAAGTGTGAAAGAACGACCCCATTCTTCCGTGTAGGATTTTCTGCCAGTGAGAGCCTGACGAAGCCACTCATAACGATCACTGATGATCTCTTCGGTGCTCAGTTTGCGCAGCTGCTGCGTCCAGTAGAAATCCTTCCGGTGACTAGCTTGCCTGCTACGGTACCACGAGCTGTTCAGTCACAGGACGCAAGACCGAAAACCCAGTGGATGGCTGAATTCCACCACCTTTGCAGATCAAAATCAACGCACCTTGAAGGAACGGTAGAAGGTGGGCGCAAAGAAGAGAAAGAGGAAGAAAGGCCCAACCTTAGATTCGGAGACGCTTTTCAGGAGTACTTCGATCGTCGTATGCTGTTCTGGATCTGGGACTACCAGCTGGGCGCCATGCGTTTGCCTTCTCCCAGAAATATTTTTCCTCGAAATACTTTGATGGGCTGAAGCTACCGACCTGCACGGGGCTGTTCTGAGATGTCTCTGTCCAGATGCTACGCTGCATGATTCTTCCAGTAATCGACTTGGAAGAGAAACATGGCACAAGACGATCACATTTCGCAAGCTCTTGTTTTGACCCTCTTGGCACCGATGGGACCAATCATGCACCACCAGCGGCCACGAGAGCCTGGTTGGCCTCTCAGTTCAAAGTCCTTCGAGGCAGTCCTACCGTTGCTGGACGAGAAGGCACTTCCGCGAAGGAAGCGATTGATCTTTGCGGAAAGGCTATGAACAACTTCGTTGGACGGCGAAAAGACTCCACACAAACTCTCATCAGGATGTTGGCACATACCTTGAACCAGCTTGCAAAGACACAGCCGAGCTTGCCACCAAAGCAAAGCAACACAGAAACTCTCCGAGAAACTCAGACCACAATCTGTTCGGCGCCCTTCGACTTGCAGTTGTCGCCACCCTCGTGGCAGTGCACCTGCAAACGGGGTTTTTACAACCGTAAGTCAACAGCAGTCGCCAGCCACATTCCAAGGCTATTTCTGGAGTGCAAACAAATGGTGAACGTTCACGAGACTGTGCTGGAGGCACCTGATTGTTCTTTTCCGCAGCAGTAAAGCTAGCAGGTACTGCCCAGGAGCACTGGTCCTCAATCAGCAAAGCCAGCATGAGTTTGCAGATCTGTAGCGATGCAAGCACAACCTCGCCGCGTGGTTCGACAAGCCGCTGAACAAGAAACAGCTCCCTGACTGAATCCGGATAGAAACATCTTAGCGCCCGCTCTGATACTCTGTCACAATCTGTCTACAAGGCCGGAAGAGGCAATGTCGGCGAGGTGAGATAGTGGGAAACTCAATGGGCAGAACGTGTGCACACAGTGTTCATGGCGCAAAAACTTGCTCAGATTAGCTGTCATGCTCACACACACACACACACGCCAACACACACGCACACAGAGTGAATAAGCATGTGTGTATGTGTGTGTATATATATATATACACGTGTATACGTATATGCGAAAAGCCGAGGAATCCACTTAACTCTCGGTCACTAAGAAGGGCGCAACCAGGATCGTAGGCCCAGCAAGCAAGGCAAGTGCAGAAGCAGGGCAAAGTTTGAGGTCCAATCGGAATATAGCACCGTTAGGTTAGCTACACTACCCACTACGCGGCCTTTCGCTGGATGTTGCACGACGCACGTCTTGAGCAGTCAAGCTGCGAGTGAGACAAAGTCGGCATGAGACGTAACAAACAACCACGGTGCACGTGCGCACAAATCGGTCACAAATCACACCCCCTCGACGCGAGCTCATGCGTGAGAGATGCGGAGTTGAAATGTGTCACACAACTCTGACCGTATGTCGACGTCGAACCTTGCCTCTTCCGGAAGACCTTTAGACTTTAGACATGGGTCGATTTTTGGTGCTTGATCAGGCCTATGTTTTACAATGCACATTCGCAGCCTACGCGATTTCAGAACTGTAGCGATGCACTATATCGGGATGCACCGGACAGATCTGTGTAATCGTTGTTCGGGGTTTGCGCTTTTGATCGACGCACTCAGAACAACAGCTCGGCAGCATCGACGGTCAGTGAAAAGAGATAGACACACGAGGAAAATACCATGGCTAGCCATTGCAGCCCTGTGGGTCTTCTCAGCTTCGACAAGGACTAGGCATCGCTGAGGAAATCGATGGAAATGGTGCCAAACTGCCGCTTCACCATCAGAGCCGGCACGAGCATTAACTCGAGGTCGAGACAACAATGCTCGTGGAAGCTCAACCGGATAGAAAAGACACTATGTATCATACCGGTTACGCTCTACCTTCGGCGCCGTTGATCGTTGCACTGACTACGTGTTCGATCGCCTTTCACATCTTTTCCTTTGCCTTGTCCTTTATCGAATCCACCTTTATCGCCTTTGCCCTTCTCTCCCTTTGGGCTTGCCCTTGGATTTTCCTTTCACGAACTGAGGAGCGATCATCTATCAAGTTCGTAGGAGGTGTAGGGCACCCAGGGGGGATTCATCGGTCGAGAAGATCTCGGATGGGCAGTGACAGTCCGCAAGTTATCGTTGGGATGCTCACTATCAGGAGCTGGGGACTCCATCACTGATCCGGTGAATCGAACCGGCTCTGGTCCTCCAGGGGATCTGCCGCGATCCTCTGAGCTTTGGCTGATGAGATGCGGTATGGACAGCAGTTGCGCAGTTCCATACTCAGGATTGATCGCTTCCAGTGCTCGCACTCGATATATCGGGCGAGGGAGCGCGGCCCTGAACCTTTCTCGTAGGCTGAAATCCCCCAGATCGTGAGGGAGTAGCTGCAACCATCGGCTCAATCCCTCCATTCTCCATGATTATCAGGTTGCGAGGATCCGCGTTGAGTCTAGTGGGCAGCAAAGTATCATCGCTTGAAAACCAGCAATGCTGGTACTCCCCAGATTGGGATCTTCGATGGCTGTCTTCATCCTAGGAGCTCTAACTGTAGCTCATCACCGTGCGGGGATCGTCCGCTGGCATCGAGCACAGGTCCATCGGCGTGCGCAGGCTCAAACGAGCCCATCGTGATGGTGGAAGCGACTCTTCAGCTGGAGGACCCGGAACCTCACGTTCCCGAAAACCCGTAAAGGTGCGACGGATAGACTGAGGTGCTTTACTGGCTTTCGATTACACATGTGAATCCAGCGCATGAAGGTCCATGTCGTCATCGTTGTCGTCAGGGACAGGAATATCCTGCGGATCCCTGCGCTGCGGTGGGCCTTCGGCCCCATCTCCGGAGTGACGGGAGCAGTGGATCGAGACCCGCGTCCATAGCATGATCGTGAGCAGGGCTGTTGACCAGTCGTCTACAAACCTAGAATGTCTTCGTTGAAGAGCTCCTGAACCATAGGCCCAGTATGTGGGATCCGCTGCCTCAATTCATCGGCAGCGCACCCTCTGTTTCAATCACCGTTTCGTCATGGAGAGCAACTCCTGCCTCGGTGAAATGGCGAATCGGAGCATGGCCCAGACGATCAAGATCTTTCCAGAGCTGATCCTTGTCATTCCTGGCCCCTGCACCCTCAATCTCCTCATCAGCATCGTCGGAAATATAACCGGGCTCACCCTTAACTGGGATGCCGTAGACCATCGTCGGTTTGATCTTGGCCAGGTGCATGGACAGAATCTTTGAGTCCACACGGAGGTATCGTTTGAATCAATATTCAGTAACGATAGCCTGCCGGAACTCATCCATTGCAATCGGCCTAGCCGGTGCATCGCGAGGCCGCATCCCGCGTCGCATTCTGATCACAGCATCGTCCATTTTTCTGTGCACCTCAACCAGACTGTCCATCCAATCTTCGACGTGGTGTGGATGCAGGTCTTTCTGTCGGATGCAGCGATACGCCTGCGCCTCTCGGCACGAAACTGAGCACTGTGCACAGTAGCATAGTATCAGTCTCTTTGACAACAGTGACCGACCTCTTCGCCTCCACTGGGATCTGTTTATCCCTTCATACGGTCCGCGGTTTTTCACAAGGCTTTTCCAGGGGCTCCATGGTCTGCAGAAGGATCTCCGGGTCCACCTACGGTTTCGCAAAACCCTTCCCCATTCTGTACAGCTGTGCTTGAGCAAAATGGCAGCATGAAAGGGGTTCACTTAAAGCCAATGGCAAAATGCAAGACAGAATCAATAGAAACTCTATTTTTCTAAGGAAAAATCAATGGAGCAACATCAATACACATATTGATTCTCTCAACGAAAGCGCTGTTTATCAATATCAACATACTTCCTATACCTTCTATTGATTAGGATCAATATGCGATTCTCTCTCAGGGTAGCTCCTCCAAGACTAGCCGTCCCTTTCTCGCAGTTAGCCTTCCGGATGGCGTCGGCCCCAAGGTCAGTAACCCTGAGCCTTGGGTGTCGCCCAAAAGCCACCGCTGGCTTCGTGTCGTCTGGGCCCAGCACCGCTGGCCGCTAGCCTTTCCCCTCTAGCAGTTGCTCTAGCGCCGGCTCCTCATCGCTTGTCTCCACCAGCGAGCCGCCGCAACTACCCTTTCGACGACACACATAAAACATATCAAAACGTAGCCTTAACATGTCCGTGCAGCTCCCTACACCGGCTCACTCGACTGGTCTCCTCGTTCAAGCGGTCCTAGCCAGCTCAGCTATCTCCTTCATCCCCATCTCCAAAAAGGAGTCACCACTCAACACGGTGAGCTCGTAGTCTAGCCCTGTTCAGCGGCGGGCTGCCTGTCCAAGACCCCCTGACTCCCCCCTTCAGCGTCTAGCCCGACCATAGACAGTCCGAGGGAAGCCGAAGCCAGAAGTATCCCTACCCCCCATCCTGTCGGAGATGACAGCCCGGCACCGCCTGCAAACCCACGGCGGATTCCATGGGACCCGGGGGTTGGGGTCGCCGGACGAACCGACTCCTAGCCACGTTCCGCTTCCCATCCCCCTACTTCAAAAATTCCCTCCTGAAGAAACTTTATTCAGAAATATCAACTCGTAGCCATTCCAAGTCAAGCTATCTCAACTCGCTCTCCTGTACCACTGGACATGTCTGTAGATTGGTGAACGGTGGCCCTATAGAGCTGCGATGGTTCCGGTGGGAAGGTAAGACGGCGCTAGCACACACAGTCGTAACTGTCGTAACTCGCACCTCGTCACGAGGTACATATCGTACTTGATCATGCGAATCTCACGAGAACCAGTGGAGCCTTGGGGCACAGCAATCAATTATGCGCCAAACGTGAGCTCCGGAAAAGCCTTCTTGGACTCCTGGCTTCTGGCCCAGTGCATACGCGGATCGAATGGTCCGGAGACCGTATATGTGAGAATGTGACATGCTCACAACCCAAGTATCGCTTGGTGTGATGCTCGAGGGTGGTTCCAACTTGCTCTTGGACGCCATAAGCTGCCATCCCCGAGCAAGATTGCCCCTTGGACCACTGAGCTTAAAATCATCAACATATACTAGAACATGCTAGAACTCAGTGCCGTCGGTCATGGCATTGGTAATACGAGCATCGGAGAGCAACGACGGCTCTGCGGGACACCCTTTTACCGATGTTGGATCAAATCGCGCACGGCGCTCGACTATGTGAAATCGAGTGACCGTCCCAGCGCGTGAGTTGTGATGCCAGTAATCACGGTCCTCTCGGCAGG